GTATATAAATGTATATATGTATATACATATATATATAAATATATATATATATAAATATATGTATGTATGTATATATATATATATGTATATATATGTATATATATATATGTATAAATATATATGTATATATATATATATATATATGTATATACATATATAAATATATATACATATATATGTATATATATATATACATATATATATATATATATATATATATATATATATATATATATATACATATATATGTACACTTGTATATATATACACATAAATAAATATCGATTGATAGATAGATAGATAGATAGAAATATTTCAGTAAATATTATTCTCTAAAAATATTTATATTTATCTTTTTTTATATATTTATATATACCTTATATATACAAAGAGGGATATTTTCATTTCATATAACTCTCTTTCAAAGTTTTAGAATAAATTTTAGGATATTTGTGTCTAAAATTGCACAAGTCACTTTCCTACAAGTAAAGTGTTTCTCAAACTGTAGGGCGTAACCTCTTAGGGGACATAATAACCCTGCGCTAGGGGTGAGATATATCGAAATGCCGAAAAACGATTATTTAAAAATTATTAATTTATTGCAAGGAAGCAAATCCAAACACCTCCTAACGTAGTAAAAAAATAAAATACACATTTTCACTGATGTAATACACTCATCAGGCGTTCATCTTTCAGTTTTTCGATAAATGAGTACCAAGTTTGTTTGGGAACTGAACACACTGTGGGTTCGCGTCAGACTGACCACTTGAATTAAACATCTTCACATGCACCTCAGCGCCTAAGATCACGAAATTTGAGAAAATAACAGCATACCTTGGCCCTCATGAGTTGTTGCGCCAATGAGTACCGTTCATGAGTACTGTTCATGAAAACATTACATACATGTATAAGCAGTAGTTTCTCTAAAAAGGTACATCGATCGCCAAAATTTACATTTTGAGATAAATTGAATTTATTGTAAACAATTGGCTATGAAATAAAAAAATAAAAGGCTCAATTTACAATATATAAAAATTTTGGTTTCTATCAGATATATATTTGGTTATCACTAAACTGGAGAACCATTATGTTTTCTAATGCTGTCGCTGAATTAGGCCAGGTATATATTTTTTGTTCAAATACATTTTTTTTTTGTAAATTGTAGTGGATCTCTCTAGATTTCAATACAAATATTTCAAATATTAATTGATTAATTAAATGCAATTAATGAATAATTAGTAACAAAAATAATAGTCCAACACAATATGTGAAAAGAAAAGGCACTTAAAGTGTTCCTGTAGCGCAATGCATAGCGCATTGGACATCTAATTCAAAGGTCCTGGGTTCGAATCCTACCTGAAACGGCCTAACCTTTGAGCATGTGTTTTCTTTTTAGTATACTATTTTATTGGAATAATTAAATTTAATTTAGTAATAAATCGTAACAGACATAAATATAATAGTCCAACACCATATAAAGAAAGAAAATTGTGTGGAAGGAAAATCGTTTTCATTTTTGTCATAATATTATGATTCTGCCAAAGGCATATACATATTTATTTTAATTGTAATTAAAAAATAAAAATTTACTAAAATAAAATTTTTGTTTGTTGACCTGAGTAGAAATTGGCTTTTTTTATTACTTGCTGATATTGAACCTTTTGTTGATACTGTATTAAATACTATAAACATAATAGGATTTTTTGGTTTTGAGATTTCTTACAAATTATTATCAATTTTACTCTCTTTTTTAAAAAAACCTAAATTTATGTTTTTTCTGAACAATATCACTGAAAAAATAATTTAGATACGTTTTTCTTAAATATTTTGCTATCACAAGGCATAGTGCAAGCCAGTGATACAAATACTCTTTTTACAAGCTTTTATTTAGTTTACTCTGTCCCGTTGTCTGTCTGTCGGTCTGTAATCAAATCTTGCAATCCTGCTCTCAAATCCACTTCCCGGTTTCCGATTGAGCTGAAATTTTGTACACCTGTTTAGTTTGGATGACATTACATTTTTGACTATTTATATTCTTATATTGCAATAAGTTAAAAAATATATTCATTAAAAACCTTTACTCCTATTTGTTTTTTATTCTGCCTAGCATCTTATCGAATTGAGCTTAAAGAAGTTCCGATTTTTCGATCTGTTTTAAAAACCCATCTTAATCTTTCTATCAAACTGAGACAAAAATAATTACATAATCAGGAAGATAATTTGTTTGCCACTATACGGTGTAATTCTTTAAAAAAAATAATGATATTTTCTATTTTTTACGATATTTTCTAAAATGAGTCCAAATCTATGCAATTTCATGAACATGATTTCTAAATCGTTTCGTATGAATTTTTTTTTCATCTTAATGAATCGATATCCTGGACTAAAAAAGTTCAGACTTTCTCTCTTAGAATCAATCATTTAAAAAACCGAAAACTCTTTTTTTTTTTTTTTTACGATTTTTCAAAAAATACTTAAATTTTTAATAAAACATGTAAAAACTTCGTCATTTTTAAAGATAATCGCAGGAAACTTTTTTTTGTTCATTTGTAGAATAGTATTATCCAAATTCTGCACTAAGATTTAAAAAATTGGTCTTAAATTACGGATTTAAAATTTTTTTTGTGTTTTTCGTTTTTAATATAGTATTATAGTAAAAAGAATGAGTTATTTTAATACTTTGATTCATTTTGTGTTGTCCAATATTGTTTGGGTCTTATAGTGATTATCCCGTCCCCCATTATCATCTTGTTGCGGTTCGAGTGAAATTTATGTTATATGAACGTGGCCCGGCAGGAAAAAAGATTGAGTATCCCTGAGTTATATATATATATATATATATATATATATAGCCTATTCAAAATTAACTGGCAAACGACCTTGCAACAATGATGCGCTGAATGAAATGAATAGACTGAAAAAGCTGTCCAGCGATAGCTAAAAAGTTAAAAATAAAATTAAAAGTAAAATTTAAAAAAACACCAAGCCTTTATTTAAATGTTTTAAAAAAAAGAGTAAAATAAACTTTCCTTTAAATTTTTTTTTGCTATCAACTTATAACGTCAATACATAATTTATGATATAAAAGTTTGTCGTGAGACTTAAGTATTCGTATTTTTTTAATTTGAAAATTTTAAAAATTAAAATCAATCACATTTAGTAATTTAATTTGCTTGTTTATCTTCACAGGTCAATCTCACAACATGCTTTTATATCAGAAAATGTGTAACGTTTTAAGTTGAAAGCAAACAAACAAATTTAAAATAAAAGTTTATTTTATACTTTTTAGACTACTTAAATAAAAGCTTGTTTTTAAAAAATATTTTTTTACTTTTAATTTATTTAAAGTTTGATTTGAATTTTTATCGAATGTTCAGTTTTCAAAAAAAAAACATTCATTTGATCTTAAAGAAGAATATGTTGAATTTATTTGGAAATACACAAAGGGTAATTACGTTTTGTATGAAGAAGTCTCTGAGAAGAAATACACTCTGTCGCAAAAAAATATATGCACCCAGAAGAAATTGAGCTTCATTCACGAAATTTGGTATGCATGTAGTGTATATGAAAATAAACAAATGATTAAAAAAAAAAAAAAATTCAGAACAAAATATCATTTTATTAAGCAGTTACAGCTTGCAAAAGGTTAAAAATCAGTAAGTAGTAAAGCCACTTCTGGCAGCTATACAAGCCGAAATTCGGCGGGGCATCGATTCAATTAGATCACTTATGACCCCCTGTGGAAGATCCTGCCATAGTCTTTGCATCTGCGCTGTTAATTCTCCTGTATCTCGGGACGGCTGCAGTTGCCTTCCCAGCGCGTCTCAGACATGCTCTATTGGCGAAAGATCTGTGACCTGGCAGGCCATGGTAGGACGTCATATCCTTGAAGACATTGTTGGGAGAGTCGCGCAGTATGTGGACGAGCATTATCCTGTTGATAAATGGCACATGGGCGACTTGATAGCATGGGTAGCACAATCGGCGTAAAAATATCGTCCACGTATCTGCGAGCTGTCAAAGTGCCTTGAAGGACCACTAAAGATGATCGTGTGTCCCAAGAAATTGCTCCCCACACTGTCACACCTTTGTGAAATTGCTGTATGCCGCTCGACAATAAATGCCGGATCGGACCGCTGGCCGGTGCGCCTCCAGACACGTGTGCGGTGGTCATCAACACTGAGACTGAATCAGGATTCATCACTGAAGATGACACGTCTCCAGTCTGTCACACTCCCAAGTTGCCCGAGGTCGGCAAAAATCCAGTCGACACTGCCTATGATGTGGGGTCAGTGGTAAGCGTCTTAGCGGACGTCGGCTCCTCAAGCCAACTTCGGTCAGTCGTCTCCTTTATGGTTTCTCTTGATGGCACTGGATGTCTGGAAGGAGGTAAGTGGCGTTGAATCGATGCTGGCGACGTTGTTGGTGCCGAAGTGGCCACTCTTCTGATTGCACGATCCTCGCGATCATTTGTGTTCCTGGGACGTCCTGACCCCTCCGCGACGGTACACTCTACCTTCTGTGATCCACTGTTGCCAACACCGAGCAACTACCATATCGCTCCGACCGAGGGGGCGGCCGATACGTCTATTCGACCAACCTGCTTCTCTGAGGCCTATTATACGGCCCCTATCAAAGTCCGTCAGCTGCTCGTACTGCCGCCGGTTACGTCTTAGAGGCATCCTAAGTCTCAATATCGTCTATCAAAGTCATCAGATTCGTTTGGATAGCCGTACGGCGCTCGTACTCATGCTTTTAAACTCTCCCAGTTGCGCAACTAATATGCGCATAGCACACTTAGCCTTGTCTCATTGACTTCGAAATTTTAATCATTTGCATATCTCTTACCAGACTACATTCTTACCGAGTTTCGTGATTGTAGCTTGATTTCTTCTGGGTGCATATATTTTTTTGCGACAGAGTGTATTTTCTGAAAGTAAATGATGTGGGGGGTGTAAAACCAGTTGTAATTTTACTTCTTTTGTCCCGGAGTACTAGTTCCTTGAGGAGAACTAAAACTGAATATCTTCATTTGAGATTCAATTATATTCTGGATTATATATATATATATATATATATAGAGAGAGAGAGAGAGACACTCAAGAAGAGCATTTTAACGAGCGGAAGCGCATCTTTCTAGACGATCTTAAAAGCTTTATTTTTCGCCGAATTTTAAAATAAAGTAAGTTTAATTTTTTATAAAAAATCATCGTTCTTATTTCTTAACGATAATATGTTTCACTGATTTATAAAATTTCAATAGTTATCGTTTATATATAATGAAATTTGCATTTAAGATCATTGTTACTTTGTTTGAATTTCCTAATTTGCTCTCTGCGAACAACAATCGAAATATATCGATTGTCACGGGGCCGGATTTCAGCGGGTATTAAAAAATGACCAACTTAGCCTAATTAGATGAATTCTACATTTAGTTCTCTCTTGCTCGTTTATTATAAAGAAAAAAAAATGTTTTACTCTGCAATTCAATGCAGTGATGGATGAACTATGTATCATATGAAGAGAAACATTTTAACACTACTCAGATTAATTTTAATACAACATTCCCTATAAACTTAGAAACTCAAACGATAGAAATGTTTTACCTCAAATTCAATTTCACAGTACAGCCTATTTATCAAACCCATTTCCTTTACAAGAAAGCAACAGTTACTTCTCTTTAAGTTCCCATTCATTGTCAAAGAAAATGAACTAATAATGAAAACTGATTCTACTAAATAAGTTATGTTGTTACATGCATATATATAAATACTTTTGGACAAACGAATTTATAAGAGCAATAAATGTTATCAACCTATCAGCAAGACTAGTAACTTGAAAATATGAAAGTATGGCTACTAACTGAGCAATGATATTTCAACGAAGGGTGAGTTAAGATTTTTAACTTAAATTAAATTCTATTGACGTGCCAGTCACTTGTCAGTTCTGCTTGTCCTAAAGATTTTGGTGTCCCCACTTTTGGAGATATCCTCTTTCCATTATTCATGCGACCCAAACCTAAGGGAAAAAGTATGTACCACTAAATTCAGTCATAATAAAACCAGTTTATTCTGATCTTAATTTATATATAATAAACCACAATAATAGTCTAGGACAGTGTTTCTCAAACTTTCAATACTGGCGACCCAATTTTCAATCATAATTTTTCTCGCCCCCCCGTGCAACAATAATGTATTTACTGCAATAAAAATGCACTTTGAGAGAGACGAAAAAGTTACAAAACGATCTTAATTAAAAATCGAACAAATTAATACGATAAGTATATTAAATTTTGTATATGTAGCTTTTAAATAATATATATTTTAAGGAAATTACTTAAAATATATATCACTTATTTATTATA